CAGATTCATATATAAGCTCCCTATTATTACTTCCCATTGAATTTAAAATGGTTCAAATTAAGACCCAAAACTGGCTATTTTATGTTAAGGAAGGGTGGGAGATTGTGAATGCAGGAAAGTATTACCAGAAATACATTTTTAGTATATGAAAATGTTAACTTCCCAAACACTTACCTCCATTCACAGTTTAGCTAGAATCCCACATTCACTAGATGGAGGGGCCAGTGAGGGCAAGATCCACACAATAGTGTCTGGTAGAAAAAAGGTGTGCAAAAATGAGATACAGTAATAGCACACTGGTGGGGTCTGCCATACTTCAGGAAAAGGTATGCTCTTCACCTGGACAACATGAAATCTAATTTCTGGGCAATAAAGGTCGGCCGGCCACAGAGGCAAAATCCTAACATCGTTAGAAGAATATGAATTTGTCCAGGCCCCAACCAGACAGACAAGGTCCCATGTCTCATCACTGGAATTATAGGGATGTGAACCCAAATCTAAATCCAAGGCATAATGGTCTTGATTAGTACTGTGGTATTATTGGAACTCAACCTGAAAGTTACAAAATGTTGCATGTAAAGCCACTACAATTATGAAGAGAAGGCAAGTAATGCCAAAGTGGACAAACCTTCACCCCAACTTGAAGATGCCCAAAATGCAACAAACCCAGACTTGGAATTATGGGACCTGTCATGTCTAACCCAACCTGAAGAAACAGATTACTTGGCCTGGGATTATGAGGAGGACATGGAACAAACTAAGTTCAACCAACAGCACGGGAATTGACGTTTTGTGTGAGGAATCTTCCATGATCATCAAAATGAAGATAATGACCAAATAGAAGGGCTACACACACAATGCAACCAGATAGTGAATAGTCATCTCTATACCAGAATTATGAGGAGACTTCTGCATAGGCTGGTCCTACTCTTATCATACATCTGGGAAGACCAACTTGGGTTATTGGAAGGAGGGCACCCAGCTTTGGAATAATGAGTTTAAGCATCACTCAAGAGGAATAGACCTCTTGTCCACCACTCCAGCAACTGGAAACTGGGAGTGGTAAGGACTCCTACATTCCACTAGGAGAAATGAGGGGAATACTCGTTTTGGGGAGTCCCAAAGAACAATGCTCCAAAGATAGTGCAATAAGTGAACCATTTTCCCTATTTTGAAAAACAAACTGTCCTTGATTTATTCAATCCAAGGGTCAGCAGGGATGGGCAAAATCTCTCAAGCTTTACACATTTAAATTCCTTAAGTGGTGGTCCAATAGTATATTGTTCATAATTTTGTAATTGCTTACCACCTGGAAAGTGCACAAGGTGGTCCTATGGAACACCCCATCTCAACAGAACTTGTTGATACCAGGAAAAATTTTGTTGGTTGACTGATAGCTAGTACAGATTTGGAAATAAGCATACCTGACAAGGCAACACCCGTCAGGGAGTGAGATCCAAATAAAAATGATGAGAGGTTCTCTGAGAAAGAATAGAGATAAACACAAAAGGAATGAAGTCACTCACCTCTCTTACAAACTAGCCGAGGCATGGAGAAAAGCCACAGGGGTAGACAAAAACCTACCAAGGAGGCAACTGCCAAATCATATAAATAGGTGTTTGACATGGTTCACATACCAACCTGTCCAATCTCCTCCAGTGTAAATCATGTAAATAGGTATTTAGCATGGTCCACATACCAACCTGTCCAATCTCCTCCAGTGTAAATCATGTAAATAGGTATTTAGCATGGTCCACATACCAACCTGCCCAATCTCCTTCAGTGTAAATCATGTAAATAGGTATTTAGAATGGTCCACATACCAACCTGTCCAATCTCCTCCAGTGTAAATCATGTAAATAGGTATTTAGCATGGTCCACATACCAACCTGTCCAATCTCCTCCAGTGTAAATCATGTAAATAGTTATTTAGCATGGTTCACATACCAACCTGTCCAATCTCCTCCAGTGTAAATCATGTAAATAGGTATTTAGCATGGTCCACATACCAACCTGTCCAATCTCCTCCAATGTAAATCATGTAAATAGGTATTTAGCATGGTCCACATACCAACCTGTCCAATCTCCTACAGTGTAAATCATGTAAATAGGTATTTAGCATGGTCCACATACCAGCCTGTACAATCTCCTCCAGTGGGCAATGCAACTGAGCTGGCAGGAACATTGAGATATAGCGAATTTGATGAGATGAGACCCAAAGAAGTCTCTGTCCCTCCAATGAAAGCCCACAATAAGCAATACACACCAACTGACAAATACAACCTGTCAAAACGACAGGGGATAAGTCATATGACACCTTAGGGTCCTAATGGGTAAACAATCAGTGATATGAACCCTGAAACCCTTCAGTGCACACAACATAACATCAAAGAGCCCAAACTGGGCATAAAGGACGATCTGGATAAGAGAGTTAATAAAAATGAGAAATGGAGGGAAGCTAAATAGGAGAGAAAGCCTTATCCCCTTCTCTAGCCGCTGAAGTTTGGGAAGAAAGAACCTATCGAGATACAACAGAACATAAGTGGAATAGTAAAAAAGTCCTGTGAACATGAATCACAAATGCACCTGAATGTCGACATCCACTAGCGATCAAGTTAAGAAAATAAGTCTTAAGCGAAAAGTGATATAGGGAACATGACACCAAAGGTTCAAAGGGTGGATGAAATAAAGCATGGAGAACAACTTAGATATCCCAATTAGGAACCTGGAAAGAACATCATGGACAGATAACCCAAAAATATTTCAGTAACAAGGACAAAACCAGGGACTCAAAAATTGTATGTCCTCCTAAAAAAACTAAAAGTAGCTGATAAAGCTTCCTTATACAGAGAAATGGACAATGGAACCAAACTTTCATTAAATAACCATCTCAGAAATCGAGAGAGATGCAGTACAGTGGGATGAGAAGGATTAAAACCATGTCTGAGAGACCACTAATGATAAGTAAACCATTTCCATTGATCAACATTCAATGAAGAATGCTAAATGGACTGCCTTACTAAAGATGTTACCCGAGAGGTCAATACTGATATTGTGCAAAGGACTGCCTAAAGGCCAGGCATGAAGACAGAAAATGGTAATTGCTGGATGAAGAATGTCCGACTAAGACTGGCATAAGAGGGACGGCCAGAGAGGAAGTGAAAGAGGTGGCTGACCCGGCCAATATGGTGCCACCAGAAGAACTCAACAGTAGAAGGTGCCAATCAGTGTAAGAACCTTGGATAACAGATGAATCAGGGGGAATGCATAAAGAGGAAGACCCATCTAATTTTGGCTGGGAGCATCTAAGCCCAAAGCCAGAGGGGTGAGGGACAGGAGACCAGAAGGATGGGAGCTGGACATTCCAGTGAGTGGCAATGATGAGAGCAGATCCAACAAAAGGCTTGTGGATGAAGTATCCATTCTGTTCAAAATAAAGAAAATAAACGATAAATTCAAAACCCAATAAGACAGGTAAAAAAAAATCATCCAAAGCATAGGTATAACTAACATTATACAACACGTAAGAGAAATCCGCAGCAAGCACGTAAAACCATCGTCATAATGCTCTGCCTTTGAGAAAAGTGAATGGGAAGTAATAACTGGGAACTTATATATGGATCTGGGAAAAGAGGAGCATTGAGTTAGAAGGAGAGAATCACAAGATTCAACTTGCTATGGGCAATACAACAATGTGGTGTAAAGGGTGGAGCAAGCAAGGTAAGATTCATACCAATGATTAGATGGGCAGAGAAGAGAAACTTTTGTCAGAATAAAGCCAAAGTGTGAAAGGAGGTAAGTGTTTTGGAACGTGATGTATATTTAAGTCTACTGTAAGAATAATTTTTTCATTAAAAAGGTTTCACCTATGAATAAAAATCATTTGTTAGTTCTAAATTTACACATCTATCTTGTGCAGAGGAATGTGTGGCCTTTACAACTAGGTGGCTATCAATCTGTATAAAGGAGCATAATTCTTGGAAAGTTGAAAATTAATTAAGTTTTGCATGAAACATTTTAACAAAATGTAACACTACTATAAGAAATGAAAACTCCACGATAGCCATCAAGATAAAGATGAAAAGCAAATAAGAATATATGACAGTTTGGCAAATGAAAATATGGAGCTAATAATAAACAATCAGCATTTGGTGACACCTTTTCTACTTAAGTTCTAAGCTATTAATGTATTTTTCTCATAAATTTTATGATATAATTATTACAGTACATGTTTCATCAATTCCTGTTATGTACTTTAATATATTGCACACATTGTGGTTAAAACAAATAGTCACAAACCAAAATTTTATTTCATTGTGCAGTATTTTGGTTTGTTGCCTTTGAATATGCAGCCAAAAAGCATTGCGACCAATTATGAATATCCAGAATACAAACAAATGCACATTTTTGTTTCTGATTATTTTCAAATAATAACAATGTGGAGGCCAAGAATATCTTGTTTGTACATTTTAATTTTTCTCAATAAAAATTAACTAAGAAAACAACTTTTGTGTAGAAAATATGTACTTTGATATATTATTTTGACATGTTAAAAGATGGCTTAGGAAAATAAAAATTAAAATGTTGTAAATGTTGCTTCAAAAATGATCTGCAGTTTTCACATATTTTTTGTCAAGAACATCAAATAAATGTTAATAAAATATTAACAAATAAACTTACATAATTCTCTGATAAAAACAAGCATGGCAGTAAATAGGTAATCAACCAAATCAAAAGATACACTGTCTGCAAAAATGGCATCCCATATTACCAGCAAGTCTTGCACTGGAAATTCTCGACCAAAAAGAAGACGAAGCCAACGACTAAAAACAAAAACGTGATAAATTACATGGAAAAACCAAAATTATTTTTATATCAAACAGATACAATGTAAAAACAAGCACTGACAACCTGAAAGCAAAAACAAGTATTATTTTGCAAGAAACTACATAATTGGAAAGATTAAAAATATCTCGTTGGTAATGAAACACTAACTTTGTTCAAATGTACATGATAGTGGTTAACTTTTATTTTAAGGACAAAACTAAATTTTCAGTAAGCACACTTACAGTAACCTTTCATTAAATTTTCATGCATATCACAAACTTGTTCCTGCAGCTTCTTGGTTAAAGTACTCCAACTGTTATTTGCCAATAATCACCCTCACATATGACTGAAAATATAACATCTTTAAACATTCATTAAAAGTTGAATAAATCCACTTTGTTAAAATGTCTATATCACATCAAGATATTTAGATACACCTTTTTTTAGTGATCAGTATTGCATGTTAGAAAATTAAATACAACTTAATGAGAAGAAAATATAGTTGGTAACAGCCTAATTTCTGACAGATATATAAACCTTGGGGCAAGTCCAAATGCTTAGTCCTAGTACAAATAAAAGTGATGACGTTTACAACTTAGTAACACTCATAAGGCCATAAAAATAAGAACTATGTTTTCAATCAGACCTTTTCAGGAAAGCATTGATGAAAACATCCATTCTCCACACTGAAAGATGTCCAGTAGTCATACCTGATCACAAATTGCATCATTACTGGGCAATTTCATTAATTGATGTGTTAGGTTCACAAAACTCAAAAACACTATTTTAAAATCCTTCATGTACCCTGTGAGGCTAGGGCATGTAACAAACATTTGTTGAATTGCCAAACATCTGCAGAAACAGGAATAGAGTTCATAAGTACAAGGCTTTACCAGAAGGTTACGGTGACTATAGGCTAAGATCTAGAAACTTAATCTTATAGCTAGTCCAATTCAACAAAATGGACACAAAAAGAAAACACAGACCAAAATTTGCCACAGACAAGATGTAATAGTGTGAGTGAAAAAGGAGACATTCAGGTAATACAATTAACAAATAATAAGATAAGCAATAAAAAAAAAACCTTCCTTGGAGAGGAAATTTAAAAAAAAACATATCAGGCAAGCTTTTAAACCACAAAGTGAATTGAACAACACACTGAAAGATAACTGACACAGAAAACAAACACATGTCATGGTGTAATCATGAAGAGTTCAAGACAATGAGGTAAGGAGACAGTGAAACCCAACTCAGTATCACCTCATTCAATATGAAAACCTCTGATTCAATCAATGGCTGATCTTTGTTAGGAATTAGAAAACTTTACAACAACAAACTGTGACTAGCATGGTTAGGCAAATGAGCATTCTACGGTTGGTTTCAAAACTTATATCAACTTATAACAATATCAAGTATGTGCCTCATACATGTACACAGAAAGAAATTTCTCACAGAGTCGCAAGAAGTGATTGGAGAGAAAATTCTAACAATGACAAAACGTGAAAATTCTCACTGTAATGAGAGTTGCAAAAGGTTACAAAATTGAAAACAGCACATGATAAAAAAAAAAGAGAATACGGGAGCACAGATAGAGGTAGTAGCCATACAGAATAAGTCAAAAGGATTGTAACTAAAAAAAAATACTTTCCTAAACTTGTAAACTAAAAAAATAAGTCTGCCAGTTACAAATTTAAAACTTGTCACTATAAAAAGTGGCTATAAAAGTCAGAAAATCCTGTATAAGTGGAAGATAAATACATAAACAACTAACTCTCTGTTGAAAGAAATTTAAGTGGATTGTTGTTTACTCATAAGTGCTTAACTAAATAACAACATAAAAGGTACAACATGTGCAACTTTAATGTCTACAACATTCATACCTACATACATGCCAAATATTTGAGGTGCTATTTCCAACTTTGTTAGATGACAATACAGTTCTGGGTCTTGACGACGAAGCAACTGTTCATGGATCTTGGTGAGTTTAACACCCAAAGTACTACAGGGGCCTGATTCAGGAGGTTGAGAAAATGGAGCCAAGTTGAAATAGTCTGTTGGCTACTTTAGGAGATTAGAGAAAAATAAATAATAGCATAGCTTATGAAAGTGACATTATCAATGTCTGTTCTTTCTTTTAATAATAACTAGTTAATTTTTTTCCTTCCTTAAGAACATAAATAAATTGCATGGTTTTAACTACCTTTTTGTAAAAATGCAATGTTTTTTACAATGTAAAACACATTTTTGGACTGTTAAGAACACCAATAACCATGTTTTTTATCATATAAGTACTGACTACAATAAATTATTTAACATATTTAACAAAAAGAAATAACTTTCAGTTTCAGAAAAAAGTTAACACTTTAAAACCAATATTTTGACTTACGTTTATGGTACAATGTAAAAAAATAAATAAAAGTACAACTGTTAAAAAGTCATACTGAGTAGTTTCATGATATCACACAAGATGAAAAAAACAACACACCAGACTAAAATTGTTAACATTGTGTTTATATAAAATAAACTAAAAAACACCACAACATCAAAACGTGCATAATGATTAAATAAAACAGAACCAGGCTCATTGAACAACTTTACATGTTTTAGCAAAATTCTACCCAGCAATAATCACCACTGTAGTGTTTTCAGTTTATTTAACTTAAGCACAAATACTGTCTGTTACCATGTTTATTTAATGTTTTTATGGTTTGATTTCTGTTGTGTAAACAATAAATTCAGAAATTCTTAATCTATATTATTAAATGACATGAAAAGTTTACATTTTTAAGATTAAAATTCAAACAAAATTCTAAAATACTGAAAGACTCATAATTTTGGATGTAGCAAAGCAGAGCATACATCTCTTACTCATAATTCTTCTCTCTCCTGCCTTTCATGTGAATTACTGCACATGCTTCAGATCTTATACAAGTTCTGCTTTCTTGGCATTATTCAAATTTATACATTGCAGACACGACTGAAAACCACATGTAATGCCCAGTTGTGGGGAGGTAAGTGGGAAAGTATAACAGATATCAGTGCTGTTTACAATTCATTTTAATCATAAAAAATTTAATATTTAAATCAGGTAGACTTACTTCTGAAATACTGAATGCCTGAATATCAATTGAAAAAGTAAGTGGGGATACAGGAGGGTTAAGGCTTGATAAATATATATATATTCAAAGCAAGAATACAACCTACACTACATATTTAGGATGTGCTCAAGCATAGTTGGAGTAATGTTTAGAACCAGAAATATTCAAAGAATTGGATTTTCGGGAGTATGAGTGGCAAAGACCAGCATTACATAAATACTGGACCAAAGGACACTTAGAAAATGCATTATTCTCAGCAGGGTGACTCCTTGACAACTTCCTGTCCATACAAAAAGAGGTTGCTTAGAGAGGTAATGTGTTTACTTGTGGAGACAATTATAGAAGCACAGGTGGTGATAAACAGGTAATAGAAATACTATATCCTGCCCCTTTAGTGAAAGGTTCTCAGGGGACCAGCCTAGTAAAACTATGAGTGGATTGTAAATTATAAATATGTGATAAGGACAAATGCAAGGGTAAGTGAGAACCTGTAAAAAGTCCTGGCTATAATAATAAACTGTATAAATGTAAAATCACCTAAAACAGGAAATATACATATGTTTTAATAAATCGACTGATTTCTCCTCAGATACCAATGTAATTATTAAAAAAAAAAGGTGTTGGGCAGAAAATAAATATCTGGGCCACTCTACATAGCATAGGTGTGGACCCAAGAGGTAAATAAGAATTTAATAGAGAATAACTCACCTGCAATTTATTTCATCTAGCTTGGAGAATAATCATAAGTGACAAACAGAATTTCAAAGCTGAAGAGACAGCAAATGTGTTATAAGCAGAATTGAAGAAATGTAATTGAATTTGTCTACATACCAGTCTGCAAGATGTGCTCTAGTAGGTACCAATATCACAAAGCCAAATACATTGCCAAATGGAAAATTTGATGAGATGTCACCTGCAATTCACTTTTAACTCTTTCCATACATGGTTGGTCTATGAAAATGATTTTGTAACCCCAAAGCAACTAGAGATTCCATATTTTATTTATAATGATGGTATTATTACACTAAATGATTTTTATTTACTTAAATAATGCACATAAGAACATAGAATAATAATATACACAAAGCAAACAATGTTCCATAATTATTATAATTTAACTGATTTTCTAAGTAATACTTGAGGGGGGTTAAATTAATTTTATTAGCTGTTAAATCTGAATACTATGAAATAAACTTTCAAACTAAAGACAAAACTGAGAATACTCTATGCTGAAAACAATGTAGCATAACACATCATTCAACAGATCAACCCCTTAAATTTCTTCTGGTTATAAATGATGTAGTATAAAATATCAGAGAGAGAATTATTGGCAATTTGTGAAAAGAAAAAAAGTGGATCTGACAGGCAGTCATAGCAAGTTGGTCTCATTTTCTAATTTATGACACTGCAAACAAATAAGATAATCAGGTACATCATGATAGACAAGATGGATCAGTTTCACAAGACAATATATTAGTGTGGATGAAGCAAGATTCAGAGTGAGATTCCTTGTAAGATATAAAGAACATATTTTAAACCCCCTGAGAGATTTTTCCATTGAATATATCAATAAACCTGGCACAACACAGGAAATGATCTTTTGAAAGAGAATCTGGGTCAGTCAGTCAGTAGGTAACAACATTTGTAAAAAACAGCTCAAATCTAAACCATATCAAGATGATAGTACAGAGCCCTTCTAGAAAAATAAAAGCATTAAAAGCATCAAGGGCATAAATGTCAGATATTCTACTACTTTAAGAAAGCAATAAACAAAAATACATCTTTAGTAAAATACAGTAGAGAAAGTTGCTAAAGATTTAAAAGCAGAAGCAAAATATCATAACATAAGACTCAAGTCCCATTGAAGACAATGTATAGGGGCTTGAGGACAAAATAAGTGAAAGCCTGAAAAAAATAGATCATGAGAGAGAGGGGGATTTTGAGGACCCATAAGTGAAAAGCAATGGGGGATATGTCAATCACATTTAACAGTCCTTTTGCCCAATATTAGGGTTCATCATCAGTCCAGATAGGATATGACAGTGGTCTAGGCACTATATATACATACATACATACATACACACATATATACACAACCAATTTTCCTGAACAATGACTGTTGTGGTGTGAAGCAGATTTAGGAAGTTAATTGTAATTATTCTCAATTATATTTTATCACGTTTATAAATCATGAAGGTAAAAATTAATAATGCAACATTTTTTAAACCAATTATTCATGTATTCATTAATATTTATTGTTATTTTAATTAACTTTTATTATCATTCACAAGAATATAGCATTAACAGGAGAATGAGAGAGGAATACAACTCTTTTGACATGTAAAGGTGGCACAGATAGCAGTTCTGTAGCCTGAAACAGAAGAAACAGACAAGCCATGATCATGAAGTTAAGGCATGAAAAATTTGCCAATGTAGAAATGAGTTGGAGAAAGACAGCCCGAGAGATTAATAAATGGCCAGAGATGAACTGTTCAAGAATGTAACAACATTCAAGAAACTCAAGAAGAGAATGGCATCTCACTCATAAATCATCATGTGATAACCCTCCACCTATAGGAGTGTGACCTACTGGAAATATACTTTCAGTATAGGAAAATAATAACTTCCTATACAGTACATTACCTCCTCTCACATGTGTATCTAGAATTCCATATTGATTGGGTGGAGGGACCAGTGTGAGGGATAGAAATAAGTATTCTTCGAAAGTGTCCAAAGAACATTCATGAAGTGTGATCCTGGTTGGGAGAGGAACACACGTGGGGGAACTGCACCACTTCTGTACCAGGTATACTCTGCACTCTGTATGGAAATAGATGTTGCATACACAGGCAGAAAGAGGAGCATAACTAAAAGGGAGAGAAAAGCCAGGTAGGTTTGAATCTGAATCACAATATTCTGAAATCTCAATTCCGGTGATGAAAGACTGTAGAAGAACCATCTGCAGACAGGAATGTGGGGAAAGGTAAACTGAATGTGCTCCAAGGTGAGTGTGGCTAGGGCACAACAGACCATACACGGCTAGTCAACTTCAGTTCAAAACCAAGCAGAACCAGAGTTACTACTTCCGACCTGTGGTAGGAGGAGGTTCCACACACGTCTTCACCTAAAGTTGAGTAGAATGGAATTCTATACATGTAAAACTAATCTCCTAAATGGGGCACATGTGTGCTAATCCACAACCACATGTATATCCAAAAAAACTTGACATCTGAATGAGGGTACGAAGGGATGTACCAATGTGGTAGTTCACATCAAACTAAATTCAATCTGACTGAAACTCCTCGGTGCAACAGCAGCCTCAGGCAGGGGAAAAACTCAGCTGAAGCACCAGAGGAAGAGCCTTCATCCCAAACAACATCATCTTCCAGACAGGACTGCACAAAAGTTGGAGCATGTACGCACAACATCAATCTCTGGGACCCACAGCATGGAGTGGAGAAAATGAGGCGAAACTATGAAATTGGAGTGAGATTGAGGAATCACAACCAACACGTGTGAAGGTTTATGTTGTTTGATCCAGCTCTAGTCCAAAACCACTCACTGGGAACCAACATCCAGATGATGATAAGATGAGGAGTCCCAACTGAAGAGGTGAACTGCAATGTGTCGAATCTATTATAAAGCAACATCATCCTCTGGATAGGACCATACAAAAGTTGGAGCATAACATCAACCTCCAGGTCCCACCAGACAGAAGTGGATTACTTCAGAAAAATATACACAATCTTACCCTCCAAATAGAACCAAACAGAAGCTGGGCACAGCATCAAACTTTGGGACCCACTGCATGAAGGTGGAGCATACGTACTTGAAAATATGTACAACATCATTCCTCAGATAGGACTGCAAAGAAGTTGGAGTGCAACATTAACTTCCAGGTCTCACTGCACGGAAGTTGTTCGCCTCTATAAGATATATGCAACCTCACTCTCTGGATAG